TTACCTTGGCATGTTTGCAGATTCAGCCAACCCCAGGAAAGCTCAGATCCGGCTGGCCAACGGCCCCAGTCGCTGCGCCGGGAGAGTCGAGGTGCTGCATGAGCGGCAGTGGGGAACCGTGTGTGACAACGGCTGGGACTTGCACAATGCTGCAGTCGTGTGCCAGCAGCTGGGCTGTGGGACGGCGCTTTCAGCCCCCGGGGGGGCTGGGTTTGGCCAGGGAAGTGACAGTATCTGGCTGGCTGAGGTGAACTGCACCGGGACAGAAACTGCCCTCTCTGAATGCTGGGCTCGGCCGTGGGGCAAGAATATCAACTGTCACCATGGAGAAGATGCTGGCCATGTCACCTCCTGCATGGCACGTGCGCTGCACTGCCGGGAGGGGTGTGAGCCACTGTGCAGCGAGCTGTTCCCTGCCTCGGTGCTGGCCCAGCGCTGCAGCGTAGTGCTCGTGGGCATGTGCTTCATGCAGTGGGGTGGCCGCTGTCCCCTAGGAGTCCAGGCTGGCCCCAGAGCCCCAGTTTGCTGCTGTGGGGCTGAGTGTTCTCATCCCGCAGTGAGTGGTGTCACCTCAGGTAGCAGGTGTCACGGTCACAGGTTGTGCTCACATCTGGCTCCTCGGCTCCTGGGCAGAACCCCCCCTCCAGTGCGGCAGCCCCTTCTCAGGGAGCCCCCTCCACTCCACTGCAGCGACCCCCTCTTGGGGGGCCCACTCTCACCTCGGGTCTGCCCCTCTGCTTTCGGGACGGTGCCTCTCAGGGCCTTCAGCACGCCTGCTTCACTGTGAGCCCTTTGGGGGGGGTCCACTCCCTCTGGACCCCCGGGGCCGCCCCTCCCAGAAGGAATAGCGCCCCCCTGTTCTCTAGACCAGGGCAACTATCAGCCAGCACGAAACAGGAGGGTTTATTGAGCTTTGAACACAGCAACGGGTCTCTCGGGCCAGTTGGCCTGGGCCCTCAGCCCACACATCAGCCTCTCCTGCAGAGCCCCCAGTCTCCCAGCAGAGCCTCCAATATCCCCAGCAATGGCCCCTCCCCGTCCATTGTCTTCTCCCCAGGTAACAGGGTCGACTGGCCGCTCTCTTCTCTGCCTCCCTCCTCCGTCCATGGTTCTCCCCTTGCTGGGATCAGCTGAGCCGGTTGCCGGGGTCTCTCTCCGTAGCCCACTGTCTGTCATCTGACCAGAACCGGCCCGTCCTCCAAGCAGAGCTAGGGTCACCAGGGTCCCAGACACCCCGGCTCCAACTCTGGGCTGTTCTCTGAAACAACCAACTCCCCCCCTTTGTCACATTAAACCAGTAACTTCTGGGCACTGAGCGCCCCCCTGTATGCAACCCCCCCTTTTGAAATCCCCAAATTCCCCACTTCCTCACAGCAGTGCCGAGTCACTCCGGCCCCTGCAGCAGGCAGGTCCCCAGCCACTGCACAGCTCTGGGATGACAGCCCGCTGCTCCCACGTAGCTCGCGCTCCCACCACTGGTTGCAGAGGGGTCCCTGGCCAGCTGCGTTTGCACCCATGGTCCCAGAGTGTGGAGAACCTGGCCCTCAGCCTGGGGAAGGAGCCCCTTTGTATTCCTGGGGAAGGGGAACCTGGGGGGCAGGAGGCCGTGGGGCGTTAACTCGTCTCCCTTCTCTGCAGGCGATGTGCACCTGGAGCAGCTGGTGACCACCGAGACCCTGTCCCCAGCCACAGGGACCAGCGCCCCTCCCACCAGAAACAGCGCCCCCCTGGGAGCCCCGCAGCAAGACGC